ATCCATCCCTGTTTCGCTCAGTTTGTGAAGGTGGTACAAAAGTTGTTGCGTGATGAAGGCCTACATTCGACAACACCGACACACCACGAATGCAGCAAAGACAGGCATGCGTGCTGTGGTTCGAAGGAAGTAAGATGGTGGTGGTGCAACAAGTAACGTCACTACCCTCCACTCTCATAATGCTTCTGTGCTACCCAACAGGATTACGCTCACTATCGACATGGCAAAGACGCACCTCGCAAGTACAGATGGCTAAATTGGAGGTGTTCAGCAAATTCTGTAACACCGCAGAACCGCTGCAATAACAGCTGGTGCTTATCGTTGCCTTGACCTCCGATTTAGTAAGTCAAAAACGATGTCAGATGCACAGTCTCTTGGGTCAACCACCGTCCACGTTTTATGCTACTGCAATCCACTCCATTTCTGTCAATTAGTCGATAATAACACGATCATCATGTTATTACACTGGCATTGACAGGACGAACACATCCCTCCACTCCCACTAGTAACCACAACAATTGGCTTAATGAGGACGCATGTGCATGGAGGCGACTGCGACACAGGCACGTGAGAGGAAAACGGCATGTGCTATTGCAAAATGATACAAAGCACAAAGTTAGAACCGACAAACCATCGACACTTAACCAACCACCTCAGTATTTATGCCTACGCAGTGAACATGACTAAACGGAACGCATCAGCGAAATGCGTTCTCGCACAAGCAGTGTTAAGCAATGCTCGCACTCACTACCACCACTGCGCAGTGGTGAGCGGACATGAGATGAAGTCTGTTGTGCGATTGCCATTAATGCGACCGCCTAACATTTGTCAAGGAACCTCATTTACAAAAAAACCGCACATAATTTGGCGACTTTGTCAATGTGCATAAAACATTGCAGGAGATCTATTCCAGTGAAGCCTCAACACACGTGTCTGCTTTGTTGCATTGATGTTGTGTCAGTGTGTGGCGAATGCAGGACTTCATTTCGCAGAAGTTTAGGCAGGATCTTTACAAACTGAGTGAAAATGGAGCTGAATTGTGGAGGATAAAATGGGCGAGGATGGGGGGGACGGGGAGTAGGACGACGAGAAGGAGGAGGATGAGTCGACATTGGTCGCACATTTCATCTGCTTGCCTCTCAGTGTCCATTGCATACTTCTAAGCATCTCATGGTGTTGCGATTTGTTGCAATTCACCGCACTTGAAAGAGGCGGCAACCAGTGAGGGGAGAGGTTACCAACAGACGACACACGTGTTGGTTAGCTAGAGGAGATAAAGTTGGAAAAGTTAAGATGATTGGAGGAATACAGTGAGTGTTGTATCTACTCTTCGTGCTCACAGTAATGCAGCATGGACCAACTAGGTAGAGGGGTGGTGCATTTTGATGTTTAGGCAGTGAGGACGGCAAAGTGCAGACCAGAGAAGCAAAGGAGTAGGGAAGAGATTGCTTAGGCTTGTGACCTGAAGCGAGCCTTCGTGGTTGAGAGGATGTCTGAATTGCTTTCCTTGATGCTTTGTGTTTCCATGGGGGTGATGATGTGGCTGATCGAATCAGCTCCTCATCTTAGTGCTCTTAAGGCGGGACGACAAGGAAAGGGGGAGGGAAAGCTGAGGAGGGCTTAGAGGAGGTGGGTGTTAGTTGAGTGAAGAAGACATCGAAGTGAAGGAACTGGACAATCGTCTGTACAGGTCCTTCCTAGT